GCCAGTAGATATACATAGGTAATGGTGACTAAAATGAAATCGAACAGCATGACGGGCGGAGCAACTGCACCATGTCCAAGGGCAGCTCAGCAGCTGCACCAGCCACTGTAGGAGGGGTCTTCCGCAGGTCCCCCCTCCCCCCTCCACACCAGGGATAAAATTTAGCAACAAGAAGCAAGCAGTTCACGTGGTGTCAGTGGACTGAGACTAAACCAATACCGGGGCCCTACAGCCCTATCCCCATCAGCCTGATAATCCCCAGCGTCGCCGAACTCCCTCTGGGTTCCTGGGCCAGCAAGATGCTGGAACAAGATTCGGAGTCCACGGCTGGGACACGGATCCTAGTCCCACCGGCAAGGAACCAGTAACCAAGGGAGCAGCACCCCACCAGGGCTCACCGCAGAAGCCCAGCCAGTTGGTTCCAGGGCCTGCCACTTCTGCGGGGGCACCTTCCCTGGTCCGACAACAGCCCCGGCCCAGCGCCCGCATCGCTGCTGTTCCTGTGACAAGGCCTTCTCTTACCGGCCCAAGCTGGCCATGTACCCGGCTGGCACATGGCGGCCTCCCCCCCATCCATGCCCCAACCGCCCAAGGTCTTCTGCTATCCCTCCAAGCTTGCAGCCCATGGCCACATGTGCCACCAATGCCACCCCTCTCCTTGCCCACACTGCCACAAGGCTTTTTCATTCCCCTCCAGACTGGCTGCACAAAGCCTGTGTCACAACCCCCATGGTGCCAGGCAACCAGGCCACAGCCCTGCATCGCTGCTCCAAGCTGAACCTAGGCCTTTGGCTAAAGACCTGTCCTGCTCCTTCATCAATGCAGCTAGCATCAGGCTGACAGCCCAGGGCAGCATGAGCGAGCCCTCCCCTTAGCTCATGGTCCTCTCTGCCACCAGCCTGGGTCAGTAAAGAGGTGGCATTTCTAAGCTGGGCTGGCAAGGAGATTGGCTCCATGCTGGGCTCGAACTTATAAGGCTGAGGAACTCTTTCCTCACCTGTTTTGGGAAGGGGACGATATCATCCACAGAGAGTTAGCAATGGGCTCCAAACCATGGACTTGGAGCTGTGGTTACAAAGCAAGTCCTGGCTCTGGTTTTCCTCTCCTATTCATATGGCAAAAGTAAAAAGTCTGCTGCCACTGTGGTTTGGTAAGGAGTGTGGGGAAACAGGGTCTCTCCTTATTGTTTTAAGTTAAATTCGTACCTCCATTTTGGGAAGGAAGGAAGGAAGGAAAGAAGGGAGGGAGGGAGGAAGACAATAAGATTTTACTAGCTTAATTCTACAAAGGGAAGGGCACACAAAAGATCATGAATCAGAATGGCTTTGGCCTTCTCAAGAGCAGCACTGGAAGCTAGAAGACAATGGAGCAATGCCACCAAAATTATGATGGCAAATAACTTCAAGTGTAAAATTCTATACCCAACCAAACTAACAACCAAACGTGAGGGAAGAATAAAGACATTTTTCAGACATATAATGTCTCAAAAAGATTATGTCTCACATGCCATTTCTTAGAAGAAGCACTCTATCAAAACACAAGGAAAAGCTAGGACAAAGGAAATAGGAGAAACTTCACAGGAGTGAGGCAAATCAAATCCCCAGGATGATGGTGATGGGAAATACCAGGGACAGCTACACGGGAGCAGAGAGAGCAACTCATCCATACTAAAGAAGTATGACTCAAGAGGGAGCATATTGAAGGACTGTCATCACCAAGATGGCTTTTGCTATTGTATTGGCCTTTTAACCTGACAATGCTAAGGTAAGTCTTCCCCAAATTCATTTTTGTACAAGATTTGCTTGGCAAGTACCTGCTTTCCCTTCTATGCCCTACTTCCCAGATCAGCCCAAAGACCCTCATTTTAACCCAAAGAAAAACTCTGCTTTGACCTATTTCTCAAAGCTGGAGGTTGGTCACACTGAATTTAAAAGCAGAAAATATAGAACAGTTCATCACCTCTAACCATGTTTCTGTTGGATATCCTGTAAGAACCTGGAGCCTACTATAGACCTGACAAATGCTCTGAATATGATAAGCCCTATGTTTCCCAGGATTCACTTGCCCACTGACTTCCCCAAAAGGGGCTCTTATAAACTATCAGGGAAGTTGAAACTAGATTATGATTCTGAAACAACAGCTTTTCTCTTCTAGAAATATTTTATCTAAGAGGGATAATAATGCCCTTTTTTATACAGCCAGGTTTGTACTTTGCTATTCAGCTTTTATATTAGCCACTTTTAATATCACTTTACACATAAATATTTAAATGAATATAAATAAAGCAATTTAATATGTGATTTTGAAAAGTATTATAAAGGAAATAAAACCTGCCAACAGGACAATTATGGATGGCACCACCAATGGTGAAAAGTTATCAATGCAACTCAAAGTTTTTTTTATAATTTTTATTGTTATGTTAATCACCATACATCACATCATTAGTTTTTGATGTAGTGGTCCATGATTCATTGTTTGTGCATAACACCCAGTGCTCCATGCAGAACGTGCCCTCTTTAATACCCATCACCGGGCTAACCCATCCCCCCACCCCCCTCCCCTCTAGAACCCTCAGTTTGTTTTTCAGAGTCCATCGTCTCTCATGGTTTGTCTCCCCCTCCGACTTACTCCCCTTCATTCTTCCCCTCCTGCTATCTTCTTCTTCTTTTTTTTTCTTAACATATATTGCATTATTTGTTTCAGAAGTACAGATCTGTGATTCATCAGTCTTGTACAATTCACAGTGCTCACCATAGCACATACCCTCCCCAATGTCTATCACCCAGCCACCCAATCCCTCCCACCCCCCACCACTCCAGCAACCCTCAGTTTGTTTGTTTCCTGAGATTAAGAATTCCTCATATCAGTGAGGTCATATGATACATGTCTTTCTCTGATAGACTTATTTCACTCAGCATAACACCTTCCAGTTCCATCCACGTCATTGCAAATGGCAAGATCTCATTCCTTTTGATGGCTGCATAATATTCCATTGTGTATATATACCACATCTTCTTTATCCATTCATCTGTCGATGGACATCTTGGCTCTTTCCACAGTTTGGCTATTGTGGACATTGCTGCTATAAACATTGGGGTGCATGTACCCCTTCGGATCCCTACATTTGTATCTTTGTGGTAAATACCCAGTAGTGCAATTGCTGGATTGTATGGTAGCTCTATTTTCAACTGTTTGAGGAACCTCCATACTGTTTTCCAGAGTGCAACTCAAAGTTTTTGTAGCAATGTGGGCCCAAAAAGCTCAACTGCAAGTGGAAAAGAATTTCCTCTGCTGAATGTCTGATGAATGAGCTAGCTTCTCAAAATTTAACTATGCATGGTTCATAGATATTATTTCCAGTTATATTAAGTAGATATTCAGTGACTTTACTGACATGCCAAATTCAAGCATTCTCAATTATTCTCAAATCAACCTTGGATTTTTCTTTTCCTTTTTTTTTTTTTTTGCACCCATAGTGTAAAAACATTGGACTTTATCCCACTGAGCTTGTATAACATAAAATACTTTTCAGAGTACGTTCCTTCATTCATTGAATAATTTTCTAGCTCACAGCTGCTGAATGTTTTTCACTGTAGTTTTGGAGGTATTGTTTTTTAATTACCTTCAGTCTTCCCTTATTAATGGAACTTAGAGGCTTCAGTACAAGTTGGTTTGAGCCTTTAAGGACAAAGATTAAGTCCTTAAAGAACAATATTAACCTAGTGCTGGTAGACACAGTTCTTCTGCTTGAACCAACAGTCACTCACATAGAAGGACAAACTATTATTGCAAACTACTATGTAACTACTAGTATATTCTACAAATAGATTTTATTTAGGCAAAGGGCAATTCCATGTCTTCAAGTTTGCATTCTAACTCAAATAATCCAATCTATAGAGTCTGCAGTTGTTAAAGGCTGCTGCCCCTAACTTTTTTTAACGAACATAAATTACCTTGGAGAAAGAACCAACAAAACTCACTTTAAATAAATCGTATACAAAACTCTTTCCAGGACCTGGCCCCTGTGTAGCTCTCCAGATTCATCTCTTACTCTGTTCCTCATTTCCTATGTTTAGCCAGGCTCCTAGTTCCTCCAATGCCACTCTCTCAATTCTAGGCCTTTATACAATCCATTCTCTCTCCACCTCACTTGCCCATTTAATCCATCAATTCTCGGCTCAGGCATCACATCCCCAGGGAAGACTTCCCTGGCCATACCCTGTCATGACATCTTAAGATTTCCTTTTATATAACACTCGCCACACTAAACTATAAGTTCCAGAGGGCAGAGACCATGTCTATCTTATCCACAGCCCTATCCATATCATCTAGGATAGCACCTGCAAAGATTTGTTAAACTGGACTAAAGTTTTTATCACTAGATTTTAAGCTAAATACTTGTAATTTTCAGTAAATTGGCCTAGGAAATAATTCAAGTTTCCTGAAGCAAATACCTGACTTTTAACCTTTCTTTCCTCCTCCATGTTCTCACACTTTCTTTTGCTTCTTTCAAAAGTTAACTACTCACTTCCTTTTGGGCTAGAAGAAAATGTCAGATTCATTTAGGGCTGTTTCAATAATATTGGGATTTTATTCTCTTTTATAACATTACTCTCAAATTATAACTATATATAATTATTGTATAATTATAATATTGATAGATCATCCATTCAACAAATATTTATTATGAACCTATTAGATACAATACTAATTGCGTAATATATGAAGTTATTGGTATCTACTTGCTAATCAGGACATCATAGCTCTGTACTTCCCCTGTCCTTTAAAAAGACAGTACAGTGGATACTTTCTCTCAATGATGAAAGAACACAACAGCAGCAATGGTCTTTTCTTTAAAATGTTCTAGAGGGAAAATCTGAGAAACAAGAATAGGCAAGAATAACTCTTAAGTACACTGTATCTTGGAGAGGCAGGCACAAATACACTCTTAACGACAATAAAAGAATTTAAACAAGTATTTTGACAATCAGTCTCCTCACCTTAGAGGCTGCATTATCCCAAATGGCTAGACCAAAGTAGTCTTCTTCCAAAAGATTGAGGTGCTCACACACTCGTTTAAGCAAATCTTGTCCCTTAGCATGTTTCTGCAAAGACATACATATTTTGAGGTTTCCTCTTATTCCTGTATTTATCACCAAATAAAATAAAGTGTCACTTCCCAATTTCCTCTTTTATCGGTGGTTACCACCACTTTCTGATGGTTTATACAGCGTAAGTAGAGCAATGTGGGTTATAAAAATCCTGTTTCTTTATTTGTCAGTTGTCAGCTTAAATATGCAACACACTTAGAGTGGCTTGGAAATAGTGCTAGAATTTAAAGCATAATTTTACCTTCCCTTCATCAACCATTCCCTACTTCCATCTTAAACATCACATTCTTTATTTTTGGTGCAGTATTTCCTGAAGCTTGCTATGGGCTGCTGTCATCATGACCACCTAAATTCACTGAATCTAGTGTCAACATTGACAGTTAATAGTGACTATGGAAACCATCAGACTTGCTACTGTTCTCAGACCAAATGTCCTAAGAGAATGAGCTATGTCTCAACTCCCTCCTGAAAAATGCACAAAGTCTAGATACCCAACAGACATTACCTGTTGCAGTGGCTTTTTCAGTGGTGTACGAATTGTCTTCTTAGTAAAGAAACACTTCTTAGAAAATCAAACCACTGCCAAATTTGGGTACTAATATTCCTAATTAGCCTAACTTAGAGGCTAAGATGCATAGTCAAAAAGTCCTGGCTCCTCCATTTACAAGCAAAACAACCTGGGTCAATTCAATTAATAATGCTGAACATTAGCTTTCTTATATGTAAAATGATAAGAATATTTATATCCATCTTACCTAGCTACTGGAATTGTTGAAAAAAATCAAACATGCTAATGACCTCTCAGAAATATATTTTTTAAATACTTCAAAAAAATTAGAAATCATTTTTGACACACACACATGACATGTCCTCTCAATGAACAGTTATTTTTAATGACTGTTAGTAATTCACATAGATGTTAATTCATTTTCAGACTTAACCCATCTATGGTAATCATTTTCCTCATTTTTCCCTCTTATGTTTTCACTCCAAATGACAGAAATGATTTGGGAATTCTTCACGTACAGGTCCCTACTCCCTTATTTATAATTACAAAATCCAGAAGCTCTAAAAAGTAAAATTTTAGGCTTTTTGGCGGGGGGTGGGGGGGGGGGGGGGGGCGGATTCCAAAGTTCATGTGAAGGCAAATCCTGACCTGAACTGTTATGAGGCTATTTATGGTCTTTATGTACCTACCTTAGAATGAATCTTGGTACTGCCACACACCCTGCTGGGTGTGTTATGAAATATGCAGCATAAGTACTTACTCCCTTTCTAAAACCCAAAATATTCTGAATTCTGAAACATATCTGCCCACAAATATTTCAGGTATAAAGAACCCAGATCTGGACCTTGGTCTGAATGGGAAGAATGTGCGGAATAGCTTTTCCCATCTCTCAGCTAGCTAGTGGTGAGAAGCAGAAAGAGCAGACCATAGGTCTCTGGTAGTTACCAGGTATAGCAGCTATTTTCAAAGTACAATAGTGTATTTTTCTTGATTTCTTCTTTGAAACTTGGAGAGGGAATATCTATTAATAGATATAAGGTGATATTTTAGACTATTAGTGCTTTGATATATTTGCATTTGCAGGCAGATAATTCAATTCATAATTACATACCTAAAATACAAGTATATGTGAATTATATATGTCTTATCAATAAAGGCTATTATTAGTAATAATCACAACAATTGCTTTATATCAAGCATATAACTGATAATTACTGCTCTAGTTTAAAAAATGGTTAGATTTTTAAGGATTTTAACTTGTCTTGAAGGAGCAAAAGAATAACCAAGTAAGTGACATTTTTTATTCAATCCTGACTCAATGACTTATTTTTTCAGAAAATAACAGAGTATTTTAAAAAATGGCATTACTTGATTTAAATTGTTTATATCCTATTTCACAGGGCTAAAGAAATGCATTGAATAAATCAAGGCTTATTAAGGTTTAGATCTGGGCCAGCAGAAATGACCACACAGTAACTTTTTTACAAATATAATTATGGGAATAGCTAGACCTAATATCAGAAATTGAGGCTACCTGGAAAATCTAGTCATGGCAGGTCACTCTATAAATAACAACCAACTGTTTTTAAACGAAATTGTTTTGGATTATGAAAGTAACACATGCTCAATTCACAAGTTTTGGCAGATACAGAAAAAACTGGAGAAGAAATAAGACTCACTCATAATCCTTCCAGGCCTCCACTTCCAGAAAATCCCTATTAACATTTCAGTTCATAGAAACAGTCACTGGCACTACTTACTCAACCCTACATGGAACAATTTTTAAGAGTTCTGACTATGGAAATTAAAATGCACTCACCTCCACAACACATTCATAAACGGTGTCATCCAACAAAGAAACCTTGCAATGCATGTTTCTGTGTCTTCTGATTGATTTCTGGGAAGCTTTTAATTCTCTTTCTGCTTTTGAGTCAGGACTTTCTTCTTTTACTTCTATCTTAGAGCAGTCTTCAAGGCCTCCCCCTTCCTTAGTTTCAAAGTCTGGATCTTCTCTGTGTTCTTCCTGAGCAGGCTGCATATCCATGACATCAAATCAGTAATAAAGACATTTCACAAAATATGCTGTATACATTTTAATAACTATAATAATGCTACCAATAAATGCAGTGAGGAAGAAAAACTGCTAAAACAAATATAAATGATATTAAGATTAAATAAATTATTAATCTATAAAAGATATTATGATCTCCTAAAAGATCTATACACTCACTATGCTATCCTTAAAACTTCTCAGGTAGAATCCTACCTTTCAAATCAACACATGAAGGTTTTAGGTAAACTACAGGACACCAATCTGTTGCTCTCAGCATTATGTATTTTTCCTGACTATGCCATTATATATTATTTTTTTAAAGATTTTATTTATTTATTTGTCAGACAGAGAACACAAGCGGGGGGAGCAGCAGAGGCAGAGGGAGAAGCAGCCTCCCTGCTGAGCAGGGAGCCCAATGTGGGACTTGATCCCAGGACCCTGGGATCATGACCTGAGCCGAAGGCAGACACCTAACCGACTGAGCCACCCAGGCATCCCACCATTATACATTATTAAAGTTTATCAAAACCTTACCATCTCTGCCCCATGCTCCTCAATTTTAGCAAGGTAGCTTTATGAATTGCAAAATGAGATGTGATTTATCACATATTCTAAATCTTATGAATGGCTAAGAGGGAGTCTTGGGACCAATTTTAGAGCATAAAGCAACATATAAACTAGGCTAACAACTGTAACTACAAGTTAACTCCTTTCTATCATTTATCTATCATGCTCAATGCAAATACGATTCAAAGAAGCAAGAGACATTGAAACCTGGGTTTCCAGGGGTTATCCTGAAGTCATCCCAAAGTTATACAAGTAAGTGAAACAACATTTTGGCACATACTTTCTTACTTCCAACATAATAAAACTGCTGAAAGATTCTTAACTGAACCTCACTAATTCTTTTCTTTCGGAATATAAGGTTGACATAAAGGAAAAAGGACCTAATTATTTAGCTCCCGAATTAGATATTGGAGGTGGTCCAAAAGGCTCCTCCCCATCCTTCGTGGCCCTTTCATGCGACCTCTTCAGAGAGGCCTTCAATCGGCTGTCCTATCTAGCCTATCCCCATTCTGCTATTCATGTTAGTACCCCACTTACTCCCTTCATAACATTTGTTATAATAAATATTTTGTATTTACTACTTTTTTGTCTCTTCCATTAGACTATAAAGTCATCAAGAGTAGGGATGTTTGCTTTATAACAACAACAACACTATATAACAATTAAAACGCATCAGTTACTATTCTAAAAGCATTACTTATTTGAACTCACTTTATCCTCATAATAACCCTGTGGGGAGGGGGCTATTGTTATTCCCACTTGAGAGATAAGAAAGAAGCCAGAGCTGTAGCAACATTTTTTCTAGATATATCTCCTGAGGCAAAGGAAACAAAAGCAAAACTAAACTATTGGGACTACATCAAAATAAAAATCTTCTGCACAGCAAACAATCAACAAAACTAAAAGATAAACTACTGAATGGGAGAAGATATTTGCAAATGAAATATCCGATAAAAGGTTAGCATCAAAAATATATTTAAAGGGCGCCTGGGTGGCTCAGTCAGTTAAGAGTATGCCTTCCGCTCAGGTCATGATCCCAGGATCCTGGGATTGAGTCCCGCGTCAGGCTCCCTGCTCAGTGAGGAGTCTGCTTCTCCCTCTCTCTCTGCCTGCTGTTCTGCCCACTTGTGCTCTCTCCGTCAAATAAATAAAATCTTTAAAATATATATATTTTTAAATTTACATAAAACCAAACCCACAAATAATCCAATTTAAAAATGGGCAGAAGACATGAACAGACATTTCTCCAAAGAAGACATCCAGATGGCCAACAGACACATGAAAAGATGCTCAACATCACTCATCAGGGAATTGCAAATCAAAACCACAATGAGATATCACCTCACACCTATCAGAATGGCTAAAATCAAAAACATGTGGTGCCTGGCTGGCTGAGTCGGTGGAACACTCAACTCTTAATCTTGGGGTTGTGAGTTCAAGCCCCACATTGGGTGTAGAAATTACTTACAAATAAAATCTTTAAAATAAAAAACATAAGAAACAACAAGTGTTAACAAGGATGTGGAGAAAAAGGAACCCTTGTGCAGTGATGGTGGGAATGCAAACTGGTGTAGCCATTATGGAAAACAGGAGGGTGGTTCCTCAAAAAGTTAAAAATAGAACTACACTATAATCCAGTAGTTGCACTACCAGGTATTTACCCAAAGAATATGAACCCCTATATTTACTGCAGCATTATCCATAATAGTAAATTATGGAAGCAACCCAAGTGTCCATCGATAGATGAATGGATACAGAAGATGTGGTATATATCTACAATGGAATATTATTCAGCCATAAAAAGAATGAAACCCTGGCATTTGCAACAACATGGATGGATCTAGAGAATATAATGCTAAGTAAAGTAAATCAGTCAGAGGAAAACAAATACTTTATGATTTCACTCGAATGTGGAATTTACAAAACAAAACAAAGGGAAAAGAAAAAGAGAGACAAGCCAAAAAAACAGACTCTTAACTATAGAGAACAAACAGATGGTTGGTGGGGGTGGGGAATGTGAAACTAGGGGATGGGGGATTAAGGGCGCACTTATCTTGATGAGCACTAACATATGGAATTGCTGAATCATTGTATTATACACCTTAAACTAAGATAACACTGCATGTTAACTACACTGGAATTAAAATAAAATTTTAAAAAAAGAAATTAAGTTTATAATATGAAAAAAAAATAACCCAATTGCAAAAAAAAAAAAGAATAGGTAAAAGGGATCAAGAACACTTATTGAGCACTAAGTAATGTATAGAACTGTCAATTTACTATATTGTACATCTGAAACTGATATAACACTATATGTTAGCTATACTGGAATTAAAATTAAAAAAAAAAAAGAAACTGAAGCCTGAGAAGTTAAAGTAACTCATCCAGCATCATTCAATTAATAAGTTACATACCAGTCTGGCTCCAGAATTCATGATCTTAAACCTCTTTGTCATATTGTACCAATGATATCCAGCCTAGGGCCTGGCACACATAGTAGGTTTTCAATAAATACTTGTTGAATGAATAAGTAAACATTAAAAACTGATATATGGCTTCCAAAAAATCCAAGGTACCATACATAAAGAATAGTACAGTCCTATGATACAAATTTACTTTTAAAAAACCTGGATAGAGGGACACCTGGGTGGCTCAGTCGGTTAAGCGTCTACCTCTGGCTCAGGTCATGGTCCCAGAGTCCTGGGATTGAGTCCCCGCATCGGGCTCCTTGCTCAGCAGGGAGCCTGCTTCTCCCTCTACCTGCCACTCCCCCTGCTTGTGTGCTCACTCACGCACGCGCTCTCTTTCTCTGACAAATGAATAAAATCTTTAAAAAAAAATCAAATAAAATAAAATACAAACCTCGATAGAAAAGGACCACTCGAGTGAAACTCTATCACACATATAGAAAAATGGTCAAATAAACCTTTACCTACAAGGTTCTGATCCACAAGGTTTTGATTGTAATTACTAGCTTCTAAAAAACCCAAAATAGTTTTCTCCTTTACACAATATCTCCTTAAAATTTATTAACAGTACTAATTTATTTTCCTTTATATATAAACACCTGTGTACAATTTATCACAATTCTGATTTGATAAAGTTTCAATGAATGAGACGTTAGTTAAATCTAAAATTAACTTTGTCGATCATCTGTTTCAACCTCACACAAATGCTATGATCTTTAGATGAAATACACTAGCCCGGATTCAAATGCTAACTAAAACAAAATATGGGTTTTTCCCTACATAAAGCAGAGGAGAAAAAAGTCAGTTAAAAACTTCCTCAAAGTACAAGGCTTCCTGAAAGATAATATAATTCAACTCTTTTGGTATTTCTAAAATAAATGATATTAAGATACATAGAGTTTCTTTGCCTTTACTGTTCATGTTGATTAACTAAGTAATAATAACTAACATTTAATGACTGGAAGGCAATGTCAAGAACTTTGCATGTTTATCTTGTTTAATCCTCTAATAGCCAAAGGAGGTGAATTTTATCCTCATTGCACAGAGGAGGAAACTGATAAAGCAAAAGTGTCACTCAGCTATGATTTTCTAGACTGATTTCATAACCTGCATGTTTACTTATTTATTTTTAAAGATTTTATTTATTTATTTATTTAACAGAGAGAAAGAGCACAAGTAGGCAGAGCAGCAGGCAGAGGGAGAGAGAGAAGCAGGCTCCCCAGTAAGCACAGAACCCGATGGGGGGCTCGATCCCAGGACTCTGGGATCATGACCTAAGCCAAAGGCAGATGCTAACTGACTGAGCCACCCAGGTGCCCCATATAGCCTGCATGTTTAACTATTAGACTATATAGTAAATCTTTTCAACTTTGTTTCACAAAACAGCAAGTATGTAATTACAACTTTATCCTAAATTTTACTGTTAGCACTTTTAATATACAAGTAATATTTCTAGAAATACATGTAATATTTTTAGAAAAATCTAATAATACTGTGTAGCCCAAACCTGAGACCTATAACAAAAACATATAGGATTTATACTTTTAACAATGCAAATAATGCTCACATGCTTCAGAAATAAAAACACCTTTAAAATAGCTTTTAATTTGTAGGTATTAAGGCTAAAAGCATATGGGATTCCTAGAAAATAGTTTCAGTTATAAATGTTTTTTTGGACAATAAATAAATTCACAACTCATGTTTAGTACATGCTATATATGTACTAAATTACCCAGAAATCTTTATTAAAATATAGATTCTGACTCAGCAAGTCTGGAGTAGAGCCTGAGATCCTGCATTTCTGACAAGCTCCCAGAGGTTGCCAATGCTGTTAACCCAATGACCACTCTCTGAATAGCAAGGCATAACTGACACAATTAAGGCCCCAGACTACTGTATATTACAAAGGTGATATAAAGAGCTAGACTTCCTTATCTATAACTTACACTCTGGTAATATGATCTGGTTGGAGAAAACAATAAAAATAAGGCAGGGATGGCTCAAACCTAGCACATACCTCTGGATGGCTTGAATCTATTACATGGCTTTTTTGAGGATTTTCATAAAAGGACCATGTTTGCAGATAAACTGTCCCATTTCTAATAATTCCAACAAAATGAACTTTAAACCACCTAACTTTTCCCCCTCATTAAAAATCTTAGACTTATTCTATTATCACAGCTAACTGATACATAGCCTGAATAAACTTATTTGATAAATACTTTTCTTTCATTTTGTTTTCTTTGATTTATAAAATGTAAATATAAATGTATAGAGTGTATCTTTTAAAAAGTCAAGTTTCCATTGACTATATTAATTTCTTTACAACAGAAAGTCCAAAGTTTCATGTTACTTATTCTTATCAAAAGTCAACTGGTTAGTAAGAAATAACACCAAATGTTATTAAGTGAAAAATAAACTGTATAACTTGTCTTCATTACACACACCTCCCACACATTCGCACATCCTTACCTGTGTTTCTGCACTGCTTAATGAATGTAGATCCAAGGATGGGTCTGTTTTGAGTTCAGGTTCAGGAGCTGCAATTGGGGCTTTTAAAATGATCTCTTCCTCAAGACTGGTTCCAAATTCTATCTCTTTCTGACCTCCTTCACATTTCTCTTTAGCTGACTCTACGTCTTTGCCTTCTTCCTCAGAAACCTGCGACTTTGGCCTTTTGAGAAATGAGGAGAACAGCCGTGACAGGCCCCTATTTTCTGATGTCCGCTCCTTGTTCCTGGTTAAGTCTTCATGTGTAGGAGTATCTCCATTAGATGTTTTCAGCTTCTGCTCACACTGATTATCTCCCTCAGCTGCCTCTTGAGAAGCCTCTTCCAGCTGAGTTTCTTGTTGGCCTGAATTTGTGGCTCCCTCACCTTCTTCCTTCTGTTGTTGGTGCTGTGAATTTTCAGCTTCAGCCACTAAACTCTTCTCTGTTGTCATGATGTTGCTATTAAAAAGACAGAAAAGGGGAGCTCTTATAATCAAAACCAATTACTGTAGGCAAAACCCTAAATCATGTCAAGTGTGCCAAAATTAATATATTTGGGTATTTAATCACCAACAGACAGTACTCCAGTCCATTAAGCATGAGACTTTCCATTAAAATACAAAAATATCTCACCTATACATCCTGAATAAATTGTTAATGCTTTGACTTGCTAAATATATGCACATGGAGAAATTACCTTACCCCTGAGGCCAACTTAGTGAAATGCATATTTCAAATTCAATGCACTGAACTATATATAGCAAATACCATTTTATCCTTCCTAAAAAAGATCTTATTTGTATACTATGCTTTGAGGGTATCAATCTAATAAAGGTCCAAAGTTTGCAGGAATTATCCTTTGCAAATGTCTCTATACTGCAAGAAATGATGAGATTAAAAGGTCCCCAACTCTTTATTGTTCTTTTTCTTTATATTTCTTAGAATGCATAGTCTTCTCCATTAAGAACAGCAAATGCAGAATTCTGATCACTTATCAGACAACAATGACAAGTATATGATTAATATAATCACCAAAAAATCCTTAAATTTTCATGTTATAATACTAAATTACAGTCTTTTGCAGAAGTATCCTCCTTTAAGTTCCTTAAGACCTTTTTTCCTTCTGAAAAATATGATTTTCAATGCTTGGCATTTTTAAATGTAGACAGTGAAGTTATTACAATAGAGAAAAATAGAAAAATAAAGAAACAAAATACAGAAGACAGATTTAGGGGTGCCTGGGTGGCTCATTAGGTTAAGCATCTGCCTTTGGCTCAGGACCCTGATGCCAGAATCCTGGGATCAAGCCCCGCATTGGGCTCCCTGCTCAGCGGGGAGTCTGCTTCTCTCTCTCCTCCCAGCTTGTTCTCTCTCTTGCTATCTCTCTCTCTCTCAGATAAATAAATAAAATCTTAAAAAGAAAATAAAGTTTAGAGAAGACAGATTTAGAAAGCAAATGCTGAGAGCAAAAGAGAAAAGAAGGCAGACTATAGAGCTTGTATATTTCAAAATTGTTGGGTTTCTAGTCTCTTGACCTCAAAATCCCAGTATTATTAGGTCTCACAATCATTGCCAAAGAACATTGTCACATCTAGTTTACTAAAGAATAACCAGGGGCGCCTGGGTGGCTCAGTTGGTTAAGCATCTGACCTCAGCTCAGATCATGATCTCAGGGTCCTAGGATGGAGCCCCAAGTTGGGCTCTGTGCTCAGCATGGAGTCTGCTTGTCCCTCTCCCTCTGCTCCTCCCCCTGCTCATGCTCTCTCTCTCTCTCTCTCTCTAAAATAAATAAATAAAATCTTTAAAAAAAAATAACCAACACACAAGAAACTTTTGTCACACCAGAAAATAAAGTTGACTACTGATGATCTCACACTTTGATTCACTGCTATACTTAGAAGCACTCCACTCAAAAAGTAGCATTTACATTGTCTTCACATCTGCTTCACACTATTTAGATGAAGTAATTTTATTTGAATGTTCACAATCCAAATTAATGAACTATATTTAGCTCATTCCCTTCTCAGGCTCTTTGCACTTGCTGTTCTCTCTACCTATGATGTATTTCTCCTGGCAACTATTTTAAGCAATAAAAATATTAAAATATTTTAAGCTTTAACAAAAATTTGCCAAAGCACATTTTCTATTCTCATTTACTAAGTCAAAAATTACTCTGTGCTAATAAAATATGCAATTCAGTCTTTATAAACATTACTTAAAATATTACTGACCAATCTACATTCTAATTTGTTACCCCTGAGTGAGGTACACTTGTACTTAAATAAAAGAAATAAAATTGTCATCAGTTCCTTATCATATTAGGAGTAGCCAACTGACTTTTCCAAAAGTGTTTTTCTTTAATCTCTAAGTAATCAAACAACCAGAAAGAAAACCCGGATATCAAACTACTATTTATTCTAGAAGAGTAATAATTTTATTTGAGAGCATCAGTTTACTTCATACTTCCTTTGCAAAAATAAAGAGAAGACAGGATGAGAATTTAGCATTATTTTCCATGGGTTTCAGATATGACTTTATCATTCACCCTATGGAAAATGAACCAAACCACTTCTGTATTAAAATCTTCCCATACAGCAGACTTTGCAGCAAGGTCTCTCATAAAAACCTATTTTTAAAAATTACAAATCTTTTGTGAAAATTTTAGCAGATTATGAAAACCACTTAAGCTTCACTTCTAACAGTATTTTACTTGCATATTTCTGTAAATGAAGAGTATTTACTTCTGTGTTTTATAATTTTTTCACAGAATTTTAAAAATAGAAAAGCTTGTCTAAGGATATTTCTGTAATTGCTTTCACATGAAAGGGAGTCTCTTAAGAAAGTAGCTGAATGAGTAAAAGTACTCAATTGTTTAAAACACACACACACACACACACACACACACAGATGGTAACCATCCATATGCTATATATGTACTTGTTAAATTTTAATGTGCATTGAATCACCTAGCAATCCTGATTCTGATTCAGCAAGTCTGGAATGGAGCCTGAGATTCTGCATTTCTAACAAGCTCCCAGATATTGCCAATGCTGTTGGCCCAATGACCACTCTTTGAGTAGCAAAGCATAAAAAAACACTATTACTTTTGGAACATACTCAAAATGCCTAAGAAATAAAGATGGCAAAATGCTACTTTTAAAAAGAATATGAACAGTGAAAAATACCTGATACAATAAATGCTCAACAAATGCCTGCTGAGTTAATGAATGAAGCAAAGAAAGCAACATGTTAAACGTAGAAGCTGAACCATTAACATTTTTCAGAATTCTTTTTGTTGCTTAATCAAAAGGTAACTGAAAATGTTAACTATAGAGCTATGGCAATTCCAAATTGTCCAAGTAGTCATGACACTTGCCCAGAATCAATGTTCCTGGTATCTCCAATGGTATGATCTCTTTGACACATTTAGGAATAAATGATCAAGGCATATGAATAAAGTGATTCAATAAGTTTATACCTCATGCTACATTCACCACAAAGTGTAGCTATCATCTGTTCCAATACATCGCCATTACAATATCATTGACTGTATCCCTTATGCTGTGTCTTTTAATCCTGCGACTTATTTATTCCGTAACTGGAATCCTGTATCTCCCACTCCCCTTCACCCATTCTGCCCAACCCTCTAACCTCCTCCCCTCTGGCAACCATTAGTTTTTCTCTGTATTTATAGGTCGATTCTGCTTTTTGTTTGTTTATTCATTCATTGTTGTTTTGTTATTGTTTTAGATCCCACTTATGAGTGAAATCATATGGTATTTGTCTTTCTCAGTCTGACTTATTTCACTTAGAATAATACCCTCTAAGTCCACCAATGTTATCTCAAATGGCACAAGCTCATCCTTTTTTATGGCTGGGTAATATTCCATTATAGATATTTACCACATCTTCCTTATCCATTTCTCTATTGATGGACATTTAGGTTGTTTCCATATCCTGGTTATTGTAAATAATGGTGCAATAAACATAGGGGTGCATGTATCTTTTCAAATTAGTATTTTCATTTCCTTTGGGTCAACACTAAATAGCGGAATTATTATATAACATTATATGTCAACTATACTCAAATTTTAAAAAATTAGCTACCAAGACATTACCAAATCACCATATTTTAACCCTCTGCATAGCACTTATTGTCTAAAATTACCTTGCTTATTTACTTTTCTTTTTTCTCTGTTTTGAATTGTCTGCCCTCCATAATAGAATGTATAACACAAGAGGGCAGTGTCTCTGTTTTATTTAGCAGAAACTCACAAATACGTAGAAATGTCTGATAAATATTAAGTTGCTCAACAAATATTTTTAAATTAAAAAAAGACATGAATAACAATTGAGAGAATAACATCTATCAGTGCAAAACTGACACATTTTGCCACATAACTGGACATATGTAAAAAACTGAATGTAAGTAAAGAACGGATTAGAGCGCAGTATAAGGAACAGACATACAAGTAGAAGGGCAAAAGAATTCTATTGGAAGGAACATACTGAAACCAGCTTTAGGTAATATCATATATTAAATGCAGGAAAACAATCAGGGAATCAGACAATGTAGTTAGTATTCAGCAGAGATGCTACAATTCAGAGTATACAAAGAAAAAGAAAAATAAATTATTAAGGAAAGCTTTTATGCATGTTCTTTCCAGCCATGCACTCATGGGTACCAACACTATTAGTAAGCGCCACAAAAGCAAAGGGGAATGGGAGTAGCGAGAATATTAAATGCAAACAATAAACCAGGCAAGTATTTCCAGTTAGCTCTGAGGCTGATCAGAATTAAACAAAAACTAACAGAAAGAAAATATCCTATGGACCCTTTACTAAAAGCTCAAACTCACCCTGACAAATCTGTTACACCTGCAGCCAAGTTCTTTCTGTTACAAATAATAAGATGGGTAACCAGAGGAAAAGATACAAAGAAACCAAGGAGCAAACAGGATAAATGCTCTACAAACAGGCCCTTCCTGTTTGCAGTAAATGATATTCCTTTCATTCTGGATACAAAATCCAAAAGGAGTTTATCTATTTACTTGATGTCAGAAAGAGGTCTTTTGATTAAAAAATAATAATAATAAGCACTTTAGACAAAGCAATGAGTTCCAATTCCATCTCAATCCTTATCTTCCAAGCCCTTGGAATTACACCCCATCTGGTACAAAACAAGATACACTTGTTTTAACAGTGTGCATCTGTTAACTTGAGGCAAATCAGATCTTTAAAAATCTGATACTGAGCAGATTTGCGAGGGCCAGACAGTATTTCTCATCTTTTTTATACTTCTCTCTAACATTAGTACAGTCGGTACTCCATTAATGCTTCTTGGGTAGAAAACTTTGAAAAAACAACTATAGTTTGGTACCACTAAGGAAATTCTTTATGATCACCATTTATGGATGAAGGGTAATGATTTAGGTATCAGTA